AAGCGCTGCACCTTATTTCCATACAAATATATACTGAATTCTATAGATTTTAAATACTGTCTTATTTAAAGAGTACTGCAAATGTATACAACATTTTACAGAGCAATCTAAAATTGCTATGAAGGTCACAAAAAAAGGAACAGCTGTACAAAGCATAGCACTATGCTTGCAAAAAGCAGTAAAGACTTAAATGGCTTTCATTTATTATTTTGATATGAAAAGAGTTTTAATTCCTGATGCATGAGGGTGAGTTTTGCTAGAGGAATTTATAATGAAATGGCTAATGCATAATTTCCTTCTACCAGGTAGGACCTATCAGCCATGTCATAAACCAGTAGCAAGTCTTTAAAATACTTGTTCTGCTTGGGCATGAACGGTAATATGTTTGGAGTGGAAGGACTGCAGAACAGTCCTTTGCAGCACTGTGAATTTAAACTCACTGGCTTCACTGTCAGCATACAAACAGGGTGGAGTTTCAAACAGAGCTGGTAGAAAATGGGAGAAGGGTTGGCCAACAGAATCCCGTGAAAATACAGTTTCAAAAGATTCAAAGGCTCCTACTTGAAATATGGTAACCAGCGAAACATGATGAATTTATACATTTTTCTGGATTTCGCATTTTGCTTCTGCACTACCGTCAGTCTTTATTAAGAAATGTGCTTTTAGAAGATATAAACTTTGACTAGACTTTGATTAAAGTTTGATAGAGACTTTGATTAACAGACTATATGGAGAAGACAGAACCCTCTTCCTCCCCAGAGGTTGATGGGAAAAAAAACTTCAAGTGCTGACTAGCCAGCATAACATGCAGTAAACAGTAATGAGAAGCTAATTTATAATTTAAACAATGTGTTAATTACTACAGTATAAATAATGAAATGTGTGGGAAATCCAGAGAGTAATCCTGTCTATCTGCTCAACTAGGAATGGCTAGAGCACCATGCCCTTGAGTAAGACAACAGTGGCATTATGCTAACATATAAGCTCTCCTCCCAGTCAGATCATCAGCAGGCTTCTTTGTTGGCTTGCTTTTGCTAATTTTAAGAAAGCATGTCTTTCTGAAAACAAATGGCATGATGGAAGGAATAAAAGGAAATAAAAGGAAAGGACCAAGAGATGTTTGTCAGTCTGATGGAGCGAGTCCAAAATCAGGAGCCCCGAGAAGGGACAGCCCCAGCTTTTCCTACTTATCTGACACTGTGACCCCACTCCCTCTCTCTCTGCCGATGGCATCACCATGTATGAGCTGGATCCCTCTGGGAAGTTGCCAAGGTAGCAAAGGGGAAGAGAAAAGTGTCCAGGTGGCTCAGAGTGCAGCCACATAAACACCAGCCCTGGCCTAAGGGGAGTGATGGGAACCTGCTTGGGTGAAGCTCAAGCACTTGGGTGAAGTCCTAGCCAGTCCTAATCCATTCAGAGATTTTCAGTGTCATCTGGCAGTTTGATTGGCTTAAGGTGAATTGTAGAACCACTCTATAGCCAATGTACCCTTCCAAATGTGTCTATCACTTTGTCAGTCCTAAGGCATGTCAAGTCAGTAGAGAAAATGTAGTGAGAGATGGTCTTTATATTGGATGTCCAGAGACCTGACCAAGGAAGAATCTGAAATCCCTTAGACTGGTCTTGCCATGACAGCAAACTTACACCACAGTTTCTTTGAACGTATTTCCCACCTGAAATAGGATGCGTGGATACAGGGGAAAAAAAAAAGCAACAAAATTTTTGGGAACTTGTCTTGCCTCACCAGAGAAGCCTCACCATGGAGCACAGGAAGGAAGGAAGGGAGACAGACAATAAGGAAGAGATTGAGAAATTCTTCTTCAAGATACATCTGCCTTCTAGAGAGGGATATTTCTGAAAACATGAAGGCCCATCAGTGTGGAGGAGGTGGAGATAAAATGAGTAAGAGGAGGCTGTCATAGTTCCAGGTAGTCTGGCCTCATATAGTTCAGGACACCATTCTGGGAGACACCTGGCTGCTGGCGGAGGGCAAGATAAGGAATATCATATCCTCTAATTTCTGCTAGTTTTGATGAGATCTTAAAGATGCCAGCTATACAGATAAGGAGTATGAAATTAAGATAGTTTCATCAATATTCAGATTTTTCTTGGTACCAAAACTAAGAGGCCCACCATTCCATCCTGACTGTTTATGACAACCAGTGTAAATAGTGTTTTGTTGTAGCAAAGCCTGTACAAGGTAGGCAATCCTTGGTAGAAGGTTAGATTTTGTTTTTTAATTCATGTTTGGGGAGCCCAGGCAAGTGCTAGTGCTAACTGATCCTCGTGGTGCATCCTCTGGGCAAGCTGAAATGAAGTTTAAGAAGGTGAAAGTTGAAATGGCCTTAACTGATGTGCTTATAAAACCCAAGAGTTTTGCAGGCTTTGCTTTAAGAATATGCATTCTTTCTCTTCATCAAGAGTTTTGCAGGCTTTGCTACCTTTAAGAATATGCATTCTTTCTCTTCATCTTGGTAAGGATGTACACACTTGTCTGTATGTACTGTCTCCCTTGATTAGCAGAGTTTAGGGACTAGAAAAAGCACTAGTTCAGATGTGGCAACTCTTGTACTAAAACCAGTAACCTGCAGTCACAATGACCACATTCTCCTGTTGGGGTGATACAATTGTGGTGCATTGGAATGCCACATATGCAAGGTTTAAATACAATATTTAACACTTTTTCTTGTAGGCATCAATAATGTGATAGTAGAAATACTCTGCTTATAGACCAAGACATTTCCAGTGTCCTTCAAATTCTCTGCCAAATATGTGGTTTGAAATGAAAGCGTACTTTTAAGAATGAGGATCAGAAATGTTGGCACTCAGTTGCCATGATAGTTCTGTCCTATACAGACAGAGAACTATAGGGAAAAAAAAAGCCAAACAAAGAAAATTAATTAAAACTTGTGTTTTATTGATCCTTGAAGCTTAGAGAGAGCCTTTTTAGACACCCAACTGTAGCATGATACCACTCAGAGAAATTATGCAACCTTGCAGTAAATCTGTCATCCTACAGCAATGTATTGTCTCTAACTCTCTTTATTTAAAAAGCACAGAGTACAGAGAACAATATTTTCACTATTGGCAAGATACTAACATAGGAGAACATAATTTTATTGCTATTTCACAAAATGCGACATCATTATTTAATTTTCTCAGTTTTTCAAATGAGGTTTCTCCTCCTGGGAGGATGGAGGAAAATGGGGGAAGAGGGGATCAGTTAGTGCTTTCAGCCTTCTTTGCAGAAATGCATAATCATAGTTTCTTCCCTTTCTGGTTTCTGATACACTGATTTCACAGAGAGGATTGCACGCTTCAGCAACTGTTTTTGCTTTCTAAATCGAAATATTTCTTTTTTTTTTTCTAATTAACAATCATTTGCAAAGTACATCACAGGCTTAGCACCTACTCACCCACAACATTTCTCATAGACAGATCTATTATTGCACAAAAATGAGGGCGAGAGTCCTCCTGTATTAATAGTTTATGAAGGTAGCAAAATTACAGCTGATCATACAGTATTCTGGCTATGTCTCCTCTTAAGCCTCTCTCTGGAGTCTCTTTTTCTGGAGGGCCAAAGCTTCCTGAATGATAATACTTTCTTCTGAATGATAATAGTTTGGACAGCTTAGTGTGCGGTAACATAACTTTGAGAAATAGCTGTAGGAAGTGCATAGGCAACCTTCTCCACAGAGCACCAACTAATTAAAATAGAAACTTTGGCTTTCTTTTCCCCTCAAGGTGACAGAGTTTTTGATCTGAAGAAACAAACCCAAAACACACAGGAAACAGAACAGACCTTATTACACTTCAGTTCTAAGGGGAGGAAAGTGAAAAGTCCCTGATTTATCCACAGGAAACCACACAGGATCAAGGTCTTCACACATTTATCCACCTTGTGCCCAGTTCTTTTTCACCTAATCAGTCTCACTGCATGTTACACATAGTAACTTAACTAGACTGAGCGCTTCTTGAAGCAAGGTTTTGTCACACACTTTTACCCCATACAGTGGCAAGCCCGTGAACTGAGAGCAGAGCAAAAATGCTGTTTTTTTATGCTGATATAAAAAAGTATTTTTTATACGCTCATATATTTTATGTGCTCCTCTCTCTTTTCCTCCTTCCTTCCTTCTCCTTTTTCTTCCTTCTTACCATCTTGCGCTCCTTCATTTCCTTCTTCTTTCCTTTCCTTTTCTCTCCATCTCTCCCTCCCTTCCCTCTTCCCTCCCTTCTTTCTTCCCTCCTCCCCTCATGATATATCTGTCACCTTCTGGATCCTGAGTTCTCATCACTTTTCAATAATTTCTGCCTGCATGCAGCCATAACACCATCTCATTGCACTAAGAAAATGGTGCTATAAAAAAGGAAACATATGAGCTAGGCAAAAGTAGCATCAAAAGAACAGAAGGGAAGGGGATATTCTCACAGATATAGGCCTAAAAAGAAAACTAACAGCTTGAACATGCAAGTATTCTTGCAGTGCTCAGCAGCTATGTATTATTTTGGGTAGACATGGCTGATGAAAACTGATGGATATGTGTTCCATTGACACTGATACTGATATTTCCTTTGCTATCTTCTCCTGCACCATTTTTGGCTTTACTTAATACCAGATGAGACTTGCTGCTGGAGTTTGGAGGGTTTTGAGCATGCACAGAAGGAAACATAAACAAAACAGCGGTAGTTTGAATGATCCGGTTTTCACACTGGCCCAGTGAATAATCAGAAAAGTTCTTCTATCACAAGGCTGTGCAGAAAGCAAAATGTTATAAATCCCACCCACAACATAGGGCCAATCAGAAATACTAAAAAATAAAGCCCAGGAACAGGCATTCTTGACAGAGTCACTGTTAACAGCTTAATAGCACCTGGCAGGCAAGATCTGTTCTTACACAAGGAATGCAAAGAGCACAGCAGTTTGAAAGGATAAATATGTACACATAGAAATTACATCTTCCTAGAATGATAAAAAACAAATAGACTAAATGCACCCCTACCTTGGAGAGCTTGGAGTGTACGAGTCTGTACAACAATACAGAGCTGCAGGACCAGCTGGGGTGCGCTTTCCAGAAACGTGGCTAGCAAATGCAGCATACTCACATCTGCATACTCATACACCATTTTCCAATAAAACCGCCATCTGTCATTCTCTCCACTCCGTCGACTCCGGATACCCAAGTATATGGTATGGAAATACCTAGAAATAAAAGAGAGGGGTTATAAAAATGCAGAAAGATATTTTATAGGCAATACTGCTGCTCAAAAGAAGCTCACATTTTCTCAACATGCTTCACTATAATGAAAATTTATTTATAGGGAATATTGTATTGCAGTTTTTAATACTGGGAGTAAACTGAAGTATTGGGAGTAAACTGAAGATACACTTGCTTAAAACAGTTTTGAAAGCCTTAGCATTGTTTCACTTGTTAAATACTATTCCTCCCAAAACCAGAGTTTTGTAAACTGACATATAAGGTAGATGAGTTGATCATAGGGCCCCATTCTAGAGTGTGTTTAAGTAATGGGGAAAAATAACTAGTTCTCAGGTGGCTTCTGCTCAGAACTTGCAAAGAATGAAGCCCATTTCTGTGTGACTCCATGCAGATTTGGAAGATGACCTGCACTGCAACCTTGGGGCCCTCGTATGGCAGTGCTTATCCAGAGGTCTAATGAATTTATTAACATGTTTCAGATACTGCTAAACATAAAGTGTTTTTTCTCAAAGACTGATTATTTTAGGAGAGGAGAAGATCTAGCTGTAAGTTTCTATTTTAGAAGAAGAGAAGATCTAGCTGTGAGTTCCCTTGGTGACTAGAAATGACTCACTAACATAGTTCCCCTGCAAGAGCAGCAGAGTGTAGAGGCAGGAGCCACGAGTCCAACAGGCTGCTGCTTTTGACAGTTGCAGTCATAAGACAATGGGAAAAAAAAAAGTATCATCAACTCTGGTAGCCTGTGCATCCTACCAGAGTGCCCTGTGGGGCTGCTAACTGACTTGGATTTCTCTTCATTCCTCACATACTCATCCTGAAAGCATTTTCTTCCATGTTTCAAAATACATAAAATATATTTTCACAGCACTTTTTCTTAAGTGAGGTTATATTTTCTATCTAGGAAAAGCTGTACTAATTCTTAATTTCCAATATTAACTGTTTCAACTGGCTAAGATAAAATACTTCTGTATTTTACCCTCCTCCTCACGATTCCTTGTCCCCAAACTCTTTTCATATCTAGCCCAGCACACTGCACCTTTGCACATGGGCTGCATTCAGCCGCTCATCCTTCTTCAGTTCAGCTGTAAATCCACCTGGAATTTCTGCCAGTAAGAAGAATTTTGGACTGGCAGGCAGAAGATATCTGAGTGAAAAACCACTGCTATCCCTGTACCCAAACTGCCGATGCACACAACACTGGAGAGCAACAGCTTTTCTCAGGAACATGCACCAAACAGAAACAGGGAAGAGACACACAAGAATAGCTGAGAGGCCAGATCTGAGTCTGCAGCACTTCTCTTGACAAAGCACATTGTTGCAATGTAAAAGGAAAACATAAATTAAATCCCATTAAGTGTCTTTGAACTTTACCAAAGTCGCATGCGGGAACATAGCAGCAATAAACTACCCAGACAGTGAGAACACAGTGAAACAGTGATCAAGAAACCAACCTTACTTCTCAAGCAAAACACTGAGAAGGTCTAGATGGATAACAGTATGGTGAGATGACAGAGGTCTCTGGTCTCCTCACAGTTAGGTAAAGTGGTATTATCCACGAAATGGTATGATGTATGGGTCTAGAAGTCAGAGGTGTAAAGACATATTTTTTTTCTGTGCAGTTCTGGTAACTGGACCTTCAGGTTCAGTTCAGTTCAGTTGCTCTCAATGTCTCTAATGTAAAGACAGAGAAAGGCATCCTTCTGCTTTTCTTTCTTTCATTTTTTTTTCTTCTGCCTTATTCACCCCTCCAAGGACCATACAAGTGAACATTGCTTATAGTGGGGCAGACATCATATTCAGTATGCTTTTCATGAACTATCATAACCTTCGCTATAAATACCTGAAGTGGCTTTGGCTGCAGATAGCTGTGCCACGAGGCTCTAGCCTTGCCAATAAAGCCATCTGCAAAGTCAGTTCTACAGCATTTGTGCAAAAAAAGAAACCTTTTGCTATTATGAAAATGACATGCTGGGCCAGGCAATGTCCCCTAGGGTTCTTTACCTGCTCTGTGGAGTGGTTGTGCATGGCAAATACATCATGATTAATGAACCCTTATGGAAATATTTCCTCTTTCATTGCACTTCATCGTGAAACACTGGCAGTGAGTTATGGGGGAGTGGGGAGTCATTGCTCTTTGTCTAGTTAGTGCTCTACCAATCTAGGCACAAGAGGCAGAGGAGGAAGACACTTTCTCTTTTTACATGTAGGGGGCAAATTTCTGCTTCATGTATTTTTTTTCTGTCCTATCAATTTTGGCCAAATTAACTACAGTCTGAAATGAGCATTTACACACATAATTACTATCTCTGATTTATGAGCACAATCAGGTGATTACACAGCTAAACATCCTCATTTGCATCCACAATTAATTGCACCAGCAACTGATGTTAGGTGTGCAAATTAGCAGTTAATATGATAAGAAGATGGTTTCATAAAATGCTTCATCTATCAAAGACACTTTCCCTAGAGTAAAATGAAAAAAAAAGGGAAGATAGCTGTTCTTGTTATTGTTTCCAAGTATAGCTTCACACTGCAGTAATGACACATCCCATTATATATATATGTATACATATATATATATATAGGCATTATATAATTGTATCTTAGACACCCTCATTGGAGCCCTATTGTCACCAAATGCTATACCAACAGAGCTATACCACTTAGTGGCATTTCCAAAGAGCTTTTACCACTCCAGCCTTCTGGAATCAGTCTGGTGGAGATTCACATTTTGTGAACGTCACAGGTTGCGGCTTGCATATATGGTTATTCCACCAAGAAAGATACAGAAGGAATTCATGATGACTCTGCACTAGAAAGTATCTTAGGTTCATTGTAGTGTAAAATTGTGCCAATGAACTAGAAAGTGCAGATGGAGATTTCATTATTTCAATTGCTATTGTATGTGGAAACCTCACATAGTGTGCAGATGCTGTATGAATATACAGAATCCATACCCTTTTCCCTTCGAGTGACAAAAAAAACCCCAAAGAATAAAGAGGTTATGAGTTTGAGTATCAGAGGGAGAAGGTAAGAAAGTGGGAATGGAAAGTATGGTAAAAATATTACCATTTAATAAACTTACTGCTCCAGCTAATAAATCAATATTTTCTTCTTAAAATTCTGATTTCATTAGAAAAGTTAAAAACAAATAAAAACCTCCTAAGTCTCTAAAATTACACAATTTCAGAGCTCTCATGTTTGTGGATAAAAGCCTAGATAAAGCTTTTCCTAAAACTTAAAGTTAGAAAACTATAAAATGTTCTGTTAAACAGTAATACCACATCTTATTTTAAAATAACTCACTTTTTGAAGCCTGACCAGTGCTTGCGGTCTTCAACACTGATATAAGCAAACTTACTCAGAATGGAGGGAACAGAGTAAGAAGCAATAGATCTTATCTTGCTGGTAATCAGATGGCAACATATATATTGTCAGCTGAGGCTTAATGTCTTTTTTACCCTCTAGAGGAATCATATAATGCTTCGGCTTTTAATTGCCTAAATTTATTTCTGTACATCACAGTGTAGAAACCACTGATAAAGCATAACCCTGGAGGATGTAAATCTGAGACAAGATCACGAGTCTCACTGTATTAATGAGGGGAGGTAGTAAAGTCAAAAACAAACAAAAAGTGGGCCAGCCCTTGCACAGCCCACAGGAAGTGCTCAACATAAAAGACAAACAGAAGAAAAAGGTATAAATGTTTGTAGCTATGGAGAAAATATACAGTATAGTATTTCAAGAACACTCATTTTGCTTCAGTTTTACATGCTAAACCTGAGGGTCAGCATGGACTGGGATACCTACATTTGAAATACTTGTGGTGACACTTTAATTACATGATTAAAGCATGCCCAATTGTGCATTTAATTGAGATGTGGTTGTATAATTATATGATAATACCAAATATTTAGAGCAGTGCTTTCCAAGTTTAAAGTGCTTTACAAACATAATTGATTAACTGGGCTGCATGTGAATAATCTCACAGGGTTCACTCCCCAGTAACTGGCAGCTAATCAGCCCCTTCTTGCAGGAGCAAGGCATAACATTTATATAGCAAACTTGAGCTCAGGTGAAATTTCACTAGCACATCATGGGGATTACTTTTTTGGGTGCAGAAAAATCCCACTCCTTTCTCCCCTGTTCTTAGAGGAATGTGATATCTTGCCCTGAATCTCATGGATCAAAATCCTTCACGGCCCAGGTGCAGCTCCAGTACAGGACAGGCAAAGACCCTCTGTGCTCAGATACTTTAAAATGCAATTCCTCAAATTCAGATAATTTGGAAGAGAAAATTGAGATGCCACTGACATCTTGGCTAAAGGCCTCCAAACCAATAGGGTTCATGCACTTTTTTACGAAAGGCTCCTAGATGAATAGCCTGGTGTCATAAAATTGAAGAGATTTTTGGCTGCAACGTAACAGAGAGAGAGTTTTTGGCCAGTTTATGTCGTAGTACGAGGCTAGCATTTATGCTCGCTATTTCTTGCTAAGTAATGATTTCAGAAGCAGCTCCACAGTGCGTCACCGACACTGTGCTTTTTACCACAGAGTGCTAAAGCTCATTATGAGTGAAAAAGAGAAACCAAACCCTGACTGCTGATGGACATGTTGATCCTACGCCTGTGTGTCTTGCTGCGTGTGCTTTGGATCGGCCACCATCTCTTAGCCTTTTGAATTTGGGTTCCCACCCCTGAAGTTAGTCATTTGCCCTCATCTCCTCTCTTACCTACAAATTATTGCAAATCTTTAGCTGGAAAGCAAGGTTTTGGAGATTAGAAAGAGTTACATTCAGTTGCTTTTCCTTTAGACTCTGTGCACAAACGAGTGCATGTTTAAATAGAGCCATATGCAAGCCCAATCTGCCTATGGTTCTGAGCACTTTTTGCTACAGATTTTCACCCTAAAGAAACCATCCATCTGATGGTAATTTATACAGCTCTGGAATAAAAGTCTTCAGTTTAGAAGTGTCAAAGA